GAGAGGGAGAAAGAGGGAGAGAGGGAAATTAACAGATATTCCTGAAAAGTTTTAAGGAAACCACTCCTTCCTTTTCCTTTAATCAAACAAATGGATGAATAATGACACTGGTTAGAAGTGTCATTATTCATCCATTTGTTTGATTAAATTGAACTTTTGATAAGATTGAGAAAGTTATATGACACTCGTTTACGCTAGCAGGAAAAGTTATGTGACATTCGTTTACGTTAACAAGGAAAGGTCACGTCACATTGATTCATGTTAACAATTAGATATGACAAACGTTGTGAAACGTTTACGCTTTTAATCTTTTGTCATGAAATGACGTTATTTGACGTGAATTACTTATGTACATTACGAAATTTCATTAAACAATGATGTTATTTTCCCAGTACTTAACTTACGTAATGTTAAGATAAGTATCGTAACGTACGTCAAAATGAATTATTTATTTGCGCATATTTATATGTTATATGTCAACTAAAATTATACTTTTAAGTTTTTCATAGTATCATTTTGGAAATTTAAAATTTAAATAAAAATAGCATAATGTCTAAAAGTTAACGATAATGGTAGGAAATAATTTTCGAAAATTTGCATAATCTTACTTGTTTTCATGAACTCTTGCAATATTCGAATACAATCGTACTTTTGCTGTTTTATATGGTATAGTTTGATAGCGACAAAAAAAAGCACCCTTTGAGCTGATATGATTGGTTATTTTAGATTCGGATGATGATTTCAACATTATCGTTGACAATGTGTCATCAATTGAATCGATTGATTTATTGATGTATGAAAAATTACTTGAAATTTTACCATTATCATCTGAATTAACATCTAGAAGATGACTATTACTACTACTACTACTAATTGTAGTAGTAGTTTGAATTTCATTAATGATAATACTTATTGCAGTAGTAGTAATAGCAGTAGTAGTAGTAGTAGTAGTAGTAGTAGTAGTAGCAGTAATAGCATTAATTATATTGCTAATTGATGAAGCGGAATTGTCGTATATAATTCCATTAAATTCGTTCGATGGTTTTAATAAAATTTCAGTAATAATTGGAGAAATGAAAATTTTAGCATAAATTACAAATGTAAGCAAAAAAGCTTTTGCAGAAAACATTCACTGATGAAAAATTATTGAAGAAATAAAATTAACAGCTAACTTGAAATTTTTTTTCTTTTTTTTTTCCAAATAACAACTGTTGTTTAATTATTGATAAATGATTGCTTACGGTAATTGTATCAATAAAATTTTGATGGTAATATAATTGTAAAAATTGATGGAAAAGAAGAAAATGGAGGAAAAAAAATCTTTAAATTGATATTATTTTATGAAAAATTATTCATTTATTAATTGTTAAAGTGTAATAAGTTATGGAAAAAATTTTTTTCAAAATTTAAGAAATTTTGCAATTTTTTTTTTTTTTGTTTGCAATTGCATAGAAGAGAGAAAAGAAAGGATAGGGAAATTTTTAGAAGTTAAAAATTAAGCAAAAAAAAATTTTTTTTTTCAATTTAACCATTTATGTTTATTTGTAATGCTTTATAAGTAAATAAAAAGAACAGATTTAATTTTCAAACATCAATTGTCACATCA